ATTAAGAGGATTTAGGGGAAGGAAATTGACTGGGTGTGTCCTTATTTTCTACCTCCAATTTGAGTGATTCCATACTTTTTTCCTCAGAAATGAGTGATACCATTTTTCCCCCCTGTGCTTGGTCAATAAAAGTAACATTCACTGACTTCCACAATGTTTTCTCTTCATTTCTTTGAGTGTTCCTGAAAGCCAACAAGTTGCACTTTGGAATGACCTTATTATTGTATCATGTTTTTGATCTGAGTTTGTTTTACAGAATGAGATGTCTGAATGAGTGCTCATCCAAGACTGGTGATTCCATACTATTTCCCAGGGGTTGTATGACTGACGAGATCAGAGGAGAGTTAAGAAGATTTATTATTTGTAGTTCATCATCTGTGATTGATCTGAATGAGAAATTTGATTAAAACTTTGATTTAGGTAAAGAAGATACATTCCAGCACCAGCTAGATTTAAAGATTTATTGTTTTTTATGTTTTGCATTTGTCCAAGGTTAGGTTTCTTGTATGTTAAGTGTTGAGGTCAGTTCCTCTACTTGTTACAACACCACTGATAAGCAGAGTAAACAGCCATGAGCTGTTTGCTTGCCAACCACCGTCACGTGATTTAAAAAAAAAAAAAAGCTCTGATGCCAGTCTGAGTGTGTGTTTTAGAAGTAATATGTTGGTTTTTGGGGTCATTTGTCTAGTCTTTCCTTTGGGTCTGGTTCCTGCCCAGTCTAAGGAGGGCTAGCTGTGCAAACTAAAACTTCAACATTGATAACCTCTCTCCTGTTGTTCAAGTTTGGGGTCAAAGGTCATGGCTGCAGTGCCTCAGCTGACTTGGCAGATTGACAGTAGGAGTAGTGGCACTGGATGGTATACAGTATAGAACTTTTTTAAGCCATGTCTTTGTCACTTTCATTCTCCATCTGTGTAAGTAGTGTGTGTGTTTGTAGAGGAGGGCATTAACCTCATAGTAACCTGAAAGGTGGTTTTTCAGTCTGGATTGTCCCAGACCACCATGATCGAGTTGACTGTTTCTGTTACATCTAAACTGTTAACCCGTAATGCATCATTTGCAAATATTTGAAGAATTTTTGAACATCTGTCTTTACAGTAAACTACATAATCCTTCTGAACTTTTGTATTATCTGTTGTGTATGAGATGATTATTTTGAGTGCAAAGGTCTAAAAGGGACAACTTTGACTTTCTTTCGAATCCTCCTTTTTGAATGGTAAATGGCTTGAACTTATATCGCGCCTTCTCAAGTCCACTTGGACCCCAAGGCGCRTTACACTTYAGACATTCACCCATGCACACACACATTCACACACTGATGGTGGTAAGCTCCGGCCACAGCTGCCCTGGGGYGCACCGACAGAGGCGGGGCTGTCATGCACCGGCGCTACCGGACCCCCTGACCACCGCATTGATTTGGTTGAACTGTGAACCAAATCAATAGCTGCATTCCCACTGACCATGAAAATGCGCAAATTAGAATTTCGAAAATAAATTTGCTCAATGAAAACACGTCAGTTTCGAAAAAAATTACATTTTTCGACAAAATGGTTTTGCGCTAGGAAGAGGTGGTTTTTCGGCCATATTGAAATTGATGTATTTCGCAAAACTGCAATGGAAACACTTTTTTCGCATCATGGGAGTCACGTAATCAAGAACCAGCTGATTATACTGGCGAAAAAGACGAAGAAGAAGATAACAGGAAGTAAAAGTAGTAGTAAAATCACCAAAGTAGTAAAAGAAAGTACTAAACTCACCTACTACATTTTCCCAAAAACACAGCATACGTAGCCACTCCCAAGTATAAGGGGCTTGTCACTCGAAAGCGTCGATAAGACGCCGACGTCAACTCTGATGGCTGATGATGAGCGCTAGTGTCGTGGTAGCAATATGCTATGTGTTTACATCCATTGCCGCCATGTTTGTAATGACTTATCGCGAGAACAAACGTATTCACGCGTGACTATTATAGCATTTCTTACTTAATGGAAATACCACAATTGCAAAACTGTGTTTTTCGACATTAACAGAATATTGACAAAGTTTTGCGCACATTTGCAATGGGAACGCAGCTAATGTTGTTCTAATGTCTGCATTGGAAATGTATGGTGCTAGCTTAGCTTAGCATGAACACTGAAAACACTGGAGAAAACAAGATCACTACTTTTTTTGGCGGGAGGCGGCCATATTTAACATCCAGCATGTTAGCATTCTGACTTTGTGTGTTCCAGTTCTTTCTTTCTTTCTTTCTTTCTTTCTTTCTTTCTTTCTTTCTTTCTTTCTTTCTTTCTTTCTTTCTTTCTTTCTTTCTTTCTTTCTTTCTGTTATCCCATAAGTGTAAAAAAGAGTGATATAGCATATACAAAACTTTCATTCTGTTTTATTTTGATTTGTAGCTGCTGGCTTGGAATTAGAAATAAACTGAACAGGATTCAAATAAAACGTTGGAATAAAACATATTGTAAAATCAATATTTAAAAACAAATTGTATGGGATGATAATTTCAGTTTGTTTCCTCAACGTCTTTAAAGGAAAATGACAGGTATGGATCTTTTTTATATAAAGCTTTTGGAAGTTTTTACACATGAAGCTCTAATTTAAGTTATGTCAAACTGTTTGTAAGTGGGACACTCAGCTCTGACAGCACTCCTTAAAACTGGTGTTTATCTTCATGATTAACTCTGTTTTAAAGATTTCTTGTCCTAATTGGTTTGTTGCTCAAMGCTCTATCAGCGTTCATCATCTTCCTGTAAACATGTTTGTTTTTTTTCTCCCCAACATAGCTGCACTTATTTTTTTAGCGTTCCGGCTAATTATAAATGAATTATGACCCCATATTCTCTATCAATTATCGTTTGTGTGACACATCCTTTTCCCAGTGTTTAGGTTTTGCTTCTTCTCGCTGCCACTGTGTACTTGAAGTTATCAGGGGGTGTAGTCTAAGCTTTAGCTTTGACGTCTGAGCGAAATGATTTTAAATCAATCCAAGGCCTGAGCTGGGTCAGCTCTTTGTGACATTTTTAACAGATATTGCCAAGATATCATCTTTTTTTTTCAACCCTCACTTGCCAAAACAAGCAAGGAACTAAACAAAAYAAGACAAGTTTTAGTCTCTCCTGTTGTATAATTATCAAACTCTGGCACCAGATGTAAGTAAAAWACCCTAATAAAAAAGATAACTTTATTTTTGTACTGATTAGGATACTAGTAATTGTCACAAACATAAAAAATGCACTTTTAGATGTGCTTCTTTTGGTTTTCTCATATTTGAATTCATCTGTAGTGTCAGTTTTATTAATATTATTGCTGTTTGTCGCCCCACGACAGGAAAACAAAGTATATAGCTCTTTGAGGAGCACTCTTGAAAACATTACTCTATAAAGTATTACAGCTTTAGAAGGCTAATCTTATATTTAAAAATTCTGTGTGTTCCTCATGTGGTCTTATTATCTACTTCTCTTATTATTTYCAGGGGTGTGAAATAAAACAAATTTTAATTTTAATAAACAAAATGTGCATTAAAACAGAACAACTTAATGAACAGGCAACATTATAAAAATCAAAGAGGATGAGGACCACATTTTGATCTGTCACACTGACACCAGGGTGACTTTCAAAAAGTGGACGATCATACCCAGAGCCACAGGATCCCTGCCAACACAAACCCTGATCCCGAGCCACTTTCTGCAAGTCTAGAAGAGGAGGGGGGCAACGGGGGCGCTGACGAAAGTCTGAACAGGCCAGAGGAGCGACACACAGGCGCCATGGCGATCCCTAAGACAACTTATCTCCTCTCTCCCAGTGATAGCGCCTGTCAAAATAACTGCCAAGATACACAGCCAGCAAGGAACTGGTTAACTCGTCCAATCAGAGGTCTTGAGTCTTTGTCTTTCTCCAGCATAGATGGTTAACTGCAGCTACATTATCTCACTGCAGTCTTTAATCCTCTGTGAGACAAAGATAAACACCAAATTACAAATCATTTAAACTTAATCCAGATATTTAAAAGGAAAAATACAGGCGTCATTGCAAACTTATGACAAGATTGAGATTTGATTTTAACATTTCATTCCAATATTTCTTTGAGTGTCATTTGGGGTTATGTTTGACATGGGGAAAAACTATAATGCCAGTCTTTTCAAGGCTATAGACACTGCTTTCATGTGTTGTAATTGAAATGCTCTGCATGCTGCCCCTGAAGTTCCAACAACTAAATTTTTGAAGAACTGTCGCCACCTGGTGGTCATAGTGGGTAACTGCCTCAAACGCGGTCCAGGTGGGTCTCACACTGCTTCATGGTTGGAAGTTGACAAGAAAAACGCCTGGCACAGAGAGATATGTTAAAGACCCCCTGGGTTAACTAATAGGGGGAAAGACAACAAAAACAGTAATAACACACCAAACAAAACCAATTTAAAATGTGTTATTTTCTCATACTTTATATAATACAAAAGTAGAAAGCAATTCATTCATTTGACTTCAAATTGACATGTGCAGCAGCTTTGGCTTATTATTCTTTTGTTTGTTTATTGTTACCCATGTCTGTCATTATTTTCTGTCAATTTTTGCTTAATTTAGATTGTTGTAACCTTTGTTTTAGGTCAGATGATGATGAACTAGTATGGTGTTAGCTATTGATTTGTTCYCAATTTTGCTTTTCAGTCTCCAGTTTTGGTTTTTCCAAAATTATAGAACGATTAAAAAGCAGAATTCCCTGACCGGGAATCGAACCCGGGCCGCGGCGGTGAGAGCGCCGAATCCTAACCACTAGACCACCAGGGATTGATGTCAATTGACGCAACACTGTCAAAAAAATTTAGTTACGTAGAGTGAGATATCATGTGGTTTACTCTTTTTCATAAGCGTGTTGTGTTCGGCGTCAGGGCTATAAAACAAAGTCGCCAAAATACGACTTAAAAATAGCGATTAAAAAAAGAATGGAACATGAGCTCGTGCCCACGGTGCCGTGCACGCACATGACAGCAGAGGGCGTTGCGAAAGGAGGAGCCATCACTCGAAGATGCTCGCGACGTATGTGAGCTATTTCAGCGACCTGTTTCCTCTCGGTCAGGTTGAGCGTTTTACGTCGTCGTTTCATACAGATGTGAGGCGTTGTAGTTAAACCAGAATGCTCCAACAAGAAAATGTCTCCTGGTAAGGAAGCGGGTTTGGACCGTGAGACAGTTTTTTAGTTGTGAACGCCAGGTCGCTATTGTTTGTGTAAACAAAGTAGCTAGCTGTAGCGCTGCTAGCTGCAGCCGTGTCCGCTCAGCTGGAACAGGACTGGAGCGTGCTCGATGTGTCTTTTGTTTGCTTAAACCTGGAAGTGGCTTTAGCTTTGAATTAGCACATCTGGTCTTATGTTTGTTTGCTGCTATTGCTCCATAAAAGCAAGGTGAAAGCTAGTTAGGATGTTGAAATTATCCGTTTAGCTGTTGTTTTTACACTGACCATTTAGCTTCTGTTTTTCTGTTATATAACGCTTCCATCCACACTACGTGTTGATGAACTCACGTTTGTTTTCCTCGTTCACTTAAGGTGCGTTCAACCTTTTGCTTATACCCTCTTAATCTGATTATTTTTACGGCTAGCTTGCATCTCAGTCAGTGACTGTTTACATTAAACGGATTCAGTGTATAATTATAGACAAACAGACTTCTGTGGTTATATAATAAAACACATGTGGAAACCACGAGCAGATGTGCTTGCAAGTGGCGTGAACCTTTAGGTATGCTTTCTTCTCAGCTGGCTAACCTGACAAGATTATTGCAGGATGCTTCCTGACTGATGGGATCAGTTATTGGGTTGTTGTTGTTGTTGTTGTTTTTTTCAGCCTACTGAGTGCTGCTGAGTGGGGAGACATTGAGAGCTTTCTAATGTCCTCCTTTTCTATTGCAGGATGAGGAAAAGAGTGTGAGAGATCYGAGCTACTCTTTGGATGAGGGAGGGCAGGTGTTTCTATGGGATGCACATGACTGCATGCAGAACTGAAAGCCTGGCCTGATGGAAAAGAGAGACAGAAAGCAAGGATATTTTGAGAGGTAAGGGACTCTTTTGCAACACTGTTGCAACTCTCTATTTTATTTGTTGTTTAATTGTTTAGTGCTCGTATRGATAGTTTCGATTTGGTGTTAAGAAAATACCAAATCAATGTTTAATTGCTTGATTAAAAAACTTGGTTCTTTTTCAACGTGGTCAGAAGATTTTCAGATGTCAGATATTGAAATTTAATAGAAACATACGAATCAGAGGAGAAACTAAGAATACAACACAGTTTTTTGGTCTTTTCTCCTTAATGTCCTGTAATGTGATGCCTCTTTTGGAGTATATTGTGTAAATAAACTTAAAACCTAAAAAAAAAGAGATCCTTACTACTAGGGCTGTGTATTGGCAAGAATTTGGCGATACGATACATATCATAACAGAGGGGTCACGATACGATATATCCCGATATGTTGCGATACTGATATATATGATATATTGCAAGGCGATATATTGTGATATATTGCGATTTTTTTGTCCAAAAATTCTATTAAATAAAAACCTCTTATTGAAAAAAAAAAAGAAAAGCTAATGTTTACTTACAATGCTAATGCTACCCTTACTCTCTGGCGCTCAAGAGGTAGAGGAGCCAAATGGCTGGCTCACTGCTGCCAACTAGTGGTCAGAGGCTGAACTACAACATAAAAATGAACGGCTGGCAGGAAAGTTGACATTTTAAAACTTAATTAAAAATCGATGCAGGGCTTTAGAATATCGATACAGTATCGGGAAATGAAATATCGCGATATTTCAGTGTATCGATATTTTCTTACACCCCTACTCACTGCTACTATTCACATCACCACGRAGCTTAGTAAATGTTCTTACATTATCTGTTTCAAGCTATTCAAACTAATGTGTTGATAAGCCTACAGGGATAGGCCTATTGTTTGGATAACATTGCCACTTAAAATTTGACTATGCCTGGACAAACTATTATTTATTTCTTAAATTTAACAAACCTGACACTAAATTGCATCTTTGTTACAGGCTGATGGTATCAAAATGGTACTGTTTTGTTGCAAAATTTTCTGTAACACTTGCGTTCAGRAGCCTTTTCGTGTCTAAATGATTCCTGGGTCAAAGTTTAATGTCTTCACTAACAAACAAAGAAGCATTACTCGAAAAATATGCAGATACTGGACTGAAAATAAAGGAAAAGCAGCCAAAACTAAATCTAAACAAAATCGCTTTGAACGATATTTGGGGAACCTGATGCATTATCAATCAGGACCACTTTAAGTAAATAAAGGCCTTGCGCATTGGGAGGATATTTAGTTGGCTTGGTGGTTAGGTGCAAGGTCACTGCTTGGATGATAAGTTAAAGGACTCTCCTGTTGGTTCATTTATTACAGGTTGTATTTTCTTATCTTTGTTGAGTATCTGATATGCATTCACCTCATAAGACCTTATTTAATCAGAGTTATGTGTTAGAGGTAATTCACTTTCAGGGCTCTAGACTAACTTTTTGCACTGGTTGCACCGGTGCGCCTAACATTTTTTTCTTAGGCGCACCAGCACAAAAGTTAGGTGCACTCAAATTTTCAACCACGTCGCATTTAACATCAGAGTTTTACAGGTTATTTTTTTAAATCACTGTTCATTAAGGCAACACTAACTCGAAAATAATTAGTTAACAATCTAGTAAACATGAAGTTCTTTATTTGAACCAGAATTGTAGACATTTAACTTACTGAAAAGTATTTAAAGTGATTCTATAAAATTCTAAGTGCAAATGTTTAAGGGCTGAACATAGGCCTGTCACGATAACAAATTTTGCTGGGCGATTAATTGTCTCAAAAATTATTGCGATAAGCGATAATATTGCCTGGTGACCGTTTTACAACTAATAATTATAAAAGCGTAATATGTAAGTGTAATAAATCAATAAACTTTAATTTTTAAAGAGTGTTTAACAAAGTGGACTCTCAGTCTCTAGCAAAAAATGCACTTGAATAAAAAAACAAAGAACAACAAAATGTAAATTAAACACCACACACAACTAAAACAGTAAATAAACAATATTAAAGAGCAGCATCTCTTTAGAGATGAAGCAAACTACACAGCCTGGTGAGGACCCACTGTTTCTTATGGGGACATAAGCCCAGTTCACATCCTATGTAAAGTTTAAGGCTAGGTTTAGGGTCAAATGGTAATAGAAAATACTGGTAAATGAATGAAAGTCAATGCATAGTCCTCATGAAGATAGAAGAACAAATGTGTCTGTGTGTGTGTGTGAGGAGGGGACAGTCAGTGAGGAGACAGTCAGAGCGCTGCGGGGGAGGAAATCAG